TGGAGACGGCCTCAGGCTTCTCCAGCTTGAGTGCTTCCTCCCCAACTCCTTTGCCTCACGCTCCACCTCAGATGCCATCTTGCCTTCCACCACCGCCGCCTTCCTCACCTTTGGTTTCACCTTCAGTGCCATTTCCCCCTGAATCCTCCCCTGCTCTTTCTTTCTACAACCCAGGGACCCAGGGAAGCCTGTGCGCATTGCCCCGGGACAGTTTAAATGGTCTCTTTCAGGTTTGGCAAATAGGTTTTATACAGCTTCCCCTCATCTCATGAATATAAATGTTTTAGTCATGACACGTACGTGATCTCACTGGACTGAAGCTTTCCCTTGCAGGCAAATTAATGCCTGTAAAGTGGCTAAACTACTGTTAGAGATTATTCTTACTTGGGGAACTCCTCTTGAACTCCAGTGATGGAGGAACCCATTTCACTGGTCAGGTGCTACAACAAATCTGCTATTTGGCCAGTTTTATATTTTCACTGTGCTTAATCCTTAGGTTTAGTTGAACATTATTAAGATTCAGTTGGCAAAATCTGCAGTAACTCTCCAAATACGTTGGCCAAAAGCATTGTCCTTGGTCCTCTTAAATGTCAGATCTACCTCTTTTGGGACTCAAAGGCTTTCCCCTTTTGAGATAATTACAGGATGCCCCAGGCATTTGGCTAATTCTTCTTCTTTCTTCTTCTTGCTTCCTCTTCCTCCTCCTTCTTTCTTCTTCTTCTTCCTCTTCCTCCTCCTCCTTCTTTTTTAAAGATGTTTATTGGGGAACTGGGGAGGGGAACAGTGTTGGGGAATTGGGGAAGGGGAACAGTTTTTCCAGGATCCATCAGCTCCAAGTCAAGTTGTTGTCCTTCAATCTTAGTTGTGGAGGGCACAAGCTCAGCTCTAAGTCCAGTCACCGCTTTCAATCTAGTTGCAGGGGTGAGCGGTGGGTGGGTGGGTGTGCGTAGTCCACCATCCCATGCGGGAGTCCAACCGGCAATCTTTTTGCACACTGAGCCCTCCAGCTGCCTGGCGGCAGCTCGCAACTACTCAGCTCAAGGTACCGTGTTTGATCTTTAGTTGCAGGGGGGGAGGGGAGTGGGAGTGCAGCCCACCATCCCATATGGGTGTCAAACTGGCAACCTTGCTGCTAAGAGCATGTCCTCTCACCAGCTCAGTAGCAGCTTAGCTCAGGCACAGCTCATTGGCCCAAGTGGGAATCAAACCGCTGACCCTTACTCAGAGCTCACGCTCTTAACTGACTGAGCCACTTGGCCTGCTGGGCTCCTGCTTCTTTTGATCCACAGTTTGTAAATGACATACTTCAGTATTATAAGGGCTTAGTTGCTTCTATTGAAAATAATCATGCTTTGGTGGAACAATCTTTTCACAGTACACTCCAGGGAAATGAAAAACTCAAAATCCATACTCTACAACCTAGAGATTTTATTTACTGGAAAAGACACCTCAAAAAGGATTCTCTCCAGCCACAATGGAAGGGCCATCAGGTACTGTTGACTAACCTCTGTGCTAGCCTCAGTGAGTAGACTCTTGGATACAAGTGTCACATCTAAAGAAGGCACCAAACCCTGACTGAAATTGCACACAGTCTAGTGATCTGAAACTAAAGCTGTAAAAAATTAAAGCAGGTGACCTGAAGGAGAGGAATTGGCAAAATAACTGAACAGGCCTGTACAACTCTTTTTCTTACTATTCTTACTTCACTGTCTCTTTTCCTAATTTATTGTGGAAAGGGGGAAATTTCTGGTTATTGAATCTGTCATCAAGAACTTTGACCTATCTAAGATAATGATGGTCTTTGTTTCATTATCTACAGGTTTGAGCTCCTGACTTAAATTCATCATATAGACTAAGTTGTTACATTGTTGTAATCCTGTTTTGAATTCTTAACGTTTGCATCTGTTGCCTATTAACCCTGGACATGAGCTGTTCCTGATCCATATACCTTTCCTCTAATGTGAGAGACACTCAGAAGAGGTCCTTCTGATATCAAGGGACAAATAAGCTGAAGATGGAAGACCTGTGATGCTTTCAGAGAAGGATCTTGATGAAAAGGGAGGAATGATAAAGACTGACTAGGACTTTAAGTGAACATAATCAATCAGGAGGGTCTATGGGAAGAACTAGAATTTATGGGAGGTCTTCTCACCCTATGTAATCATGAGAATCCTACACATGAGGGCCCTACAGGAAGAACTCTGTTTATAATAAAGCTCTATGATTCTAACTACTCCTCCCCTTAATTTCCTTTCCCCTTATATAAGTACCCCTCCATCTTGGCACGTGGGCCAGAGTATGCTCATGGCTTGCCATGTCTGCATGCACTGGGATGCAAACCTCTTTCTCCTTAATAAATACTTTTAGTGATGAAACACCTAGTCGGTATTTTTCAGTTGATGAGGCTAATTCCAAAATGCGCAGTGTCTGTGGACAGGCTGGAAGGACAAGGCTCCTTGTCTCTGTGGTTCCCAGAGGGCCTTCTTCCCAGGAAGAGCAGGACTTCAATGTTTCTAATCCTGCCTCAAGGTGCCTGCTGCTGAGGCTATGTGCCTGGTGAGTGTGCTTAAAAATAATTGTAGTTCACTTCCAAAGGCAGTCTGTTGGCTCTTTTTGCTTAGGGAAGGGCAGTCTTTGTTCTATTAAGGCCTTCGACTGATTTTGAGGCCCACCCACATTATGAAGGGTATTCTGATTTACTCAAACTTCATCCATTTAATAGATGCTCTCGTTCAAAAAGCACCTTTACATAAACATTCAGAATATTTTATCACAGTAATATTGCATAAATATCACTCTACTCAGAGAATAAATTCAGGATGGCCTAGAACAGTGCAAATAAACCTAACCTTTTCTCAAATTGGAAGGGATTCCAGGATTTAATATAGGAGCAAAAAGAAGTGCCAAATACTATAAAACTTTAAAATACAGGTGAAGGGGCCGGCAGAGTGGCTCAGTTGGTTAAGGGCGCGAGCTTCGAACAACATGGTCGCCGGTTCGATTCCCACATGAGCTAGTGAGCTGCGTCCGAGCCAAGCGGCCGCTGAACTACCAACAGGTGGCAGTATCCTCAGCTGGTGAAAGCATGTGCTCCTAACAAGGTTGCCGGTTTGACTCCCGCATGGGATGGTGGGCTACATCCACCCGCAACTAAGATAGAACATAGCACCTTGACCTGAGCTGACCTGAGCTGCCGTCAGGCAGCTGGATGGCTCAGTGTTACAGCATTCGCTCTTAGCAACAAGGTTGCTGGTTTGACTCTTGCATGGGATGGTGGGCTAAGCCCACCCACAACTAAGATTGAACACAACACCTTGAGCTGAGCGGCTGTGAGCTGCTGACGGGCGGCCAGATGGCAACTGGACTTGGAAGCTGAGCTAGCTGCACCCTCCACAACTAAGATTGAAGGACAACAACTTGGCTGTTCCCGTTCTCCAATTCCCCAACACTGTTCCCCTTCCCCAATAAAAAAAAACAAAAATAAATAAAATAAAGGTGAATTAAAATTTTCTTAAATGATGTTAAATACAAAGACACCAGAAATACCTGTGGCCTAAATCAATGGAAAGTCTCAAGGTCCAGATACTCATGTCCAAACTTCTGATTACATGCAAAACTGCAAAAAATAAATATGAACCATGTTTGTATCTTTATGGGGAATCTTTCCTGTCAATTACAGGAAGGCAGGACTTTCTACATTGCTGCCCTCTATTTACTTCCATACCAAAGCGGTTCTTGAAACTGTAATGTGTAGTGCACGGTGGAAATTCAAGTGATCGATAATAGCACTGTCACTCACTGACGCTCCTACCTTCAGAGAAAATATATACACACATCCAGCCTCCCTAATACCTTTTTTTTTCACATTCCATCAAAGCTCTGATTTCTATCTTATAAACCAAACTTTACCACTTGTTAACACACATCTCCTTTCCCACAAAAATATGAGCACCAGACTGAAAGAACTGGTGTATTTCATGCCTCTGTATCATGTCTGACAGTGACTTATTTGTGCTAAATTTGGTATGTTTTGAATCTACTGTGTTTGATAGATGAGGTACATTGAAAAATTTGTATCAAGAGTATAGTCTCTCAGCAAGAAAGGCTTTATTGGAATAATGGTCCTGTCTTTCTCCCTTGCTAGGTTTGTGTTCTCTCACAATTTACCTATACATATAGGCCTCAGTTGAGTCACAAAGGAGATATTAAAGGTTTTATTACTTTACTAAGAAGTGAATTTCTATATTTTCACTGTAAACAATGTCCATCCAATACACCAGTATCAGTATTTAGATAATGAGTAGGAAAGACAAAAACTGCCCCAGTGGACTGGGGGCTGGCCTTGCTTTCTCTTATTGTGAAGGGAAAAATGTCAATTTCTTCCATCACCAGACAAAGCTACTTAGTGAACATGATGGACTAAGACAAAAATAAGGGTATTTGTAAAACTGCATCTGTAAAATTGGTGAGAGAGAGAATTCCAAATCATAAAAATGACCAAAATTGCCCCCTTAATAACATGACTGACTGGAGCTTATGGATTAGGTTTAGCTCTACTACACTGTTTTGGCCTTCCAGAAAATAACATTTACGATTGCCAATGATAGAATTAAGTTCATCTCACAGCAACCAGTACCTCCAGAAATGTCTTGCTTCCTTGAATAGTAATAAAATCACCTGCAAAAGCCAAAATCATATGTCATTTTGAGCACCCTCTTACTGACAAATCCACAGTCATTGAGCGTTTGCTGTTAATCTTAATACTATGATATATACCACTCTTGTTGACTCCTGGTGTGATCCTGGTAGGTTTAGGTGAAATGGCACTGACAAAACAAATGAACAAGAAATTAGCTTCAAGACAAAAACTATAACTATAAAAGAATAAAATAAAATACAATTTACCTGAGAAAAAGCCCCAAATATGTATATACAAAGTAATATTGAGTGAGAATATATAACTATTAACTTGACAAAATTACAAGGTTGATCAGAAAATCCATAATTACAAGGGGATATTTTAATGTATGTGCTCAGGAAATAAAAATCACAATAACTATTATATACAAATTGTATAAAAACACTAAAATATTTCTAAGAACTACAGATTTTATTTGACAAAAATACCTTGTTTTTAACCACAAACACACATAATCGAAAATGTGCTGCACACTGATGTACAGCTGTGAGCAATGGGAAACATTTATAATCTGCCTGATATGAGGAAGGTGCTGATTCTCGCCTGGAAGGAGTGGGTCAGAGCAGTCACCGCACAGTGTAGCAGAGGAACAAACTCCAATGTGCTTCGTTTGGACAGCACCATTGCTGCTATCATAGTGGGGTCAGCAACACGTGGTCCCTAACAGTATTACCAGAACAAGGTGTTTACTGTACAAATTAGACCTTATATGAATACAATCTAGGAAAGATGGAAGTGCAAGCATCAGAAAATACTCCAAACCATCATAGCTCAAATAAGTTACCTAGGAGACATATGGAAGATTGCAAGAAAATCCAAACAGTGATGGACCTTTGATGTGGAACTTCTGAAGGTACATGTGGAAACCTACACCTTTGAGAAAATGGAAGTCAAGCAGTTGATTGTGGTTTTGAGGATACTCTTGATTGCCAGAGCAAGGAATCAGGAAAACTGGCTGGAAGCAGGTGTCCTCAATTCTTGTGCACCTGTCTCCCTCCCCATATGGCGGCTCCAAAACCTGATTAATGCCTTCTATACTTCTGCATTCCAAATCTCAAGCAAATGAAGCTACAGGTGAATTCTAAAATGAAACCATAAAAGGAAAAGATTCTAAAAATTGTCATATTACCCAGGTGACAAAACAATTTAGGAGAACCAATTCTACATTTCATTGTTCAATAACAGCAATCCAAACGTCAACTCTGGGATTGGGGATCCATGTATGTGGACAGCTGACTGTAGTTATACTCAGATCTTCAACTGCATAGGAGGTCAGTGTCCCTAACCCCTGTATTGTTCAAGGGTCAACTATCATTCACAAGATTATATGATAAAATTTGCATATTTACAAATTTATGCCATCTTTTATTACCAAAAAAAATGGAATTAAAGGTTTTCTGGCCACAACAAAATAGTAGGTTTTCTCATAAGAAAGAAGGAATACATATAGGATATCCAATACCTGGCACAGGAGGCCAGTAGAAAAATCCCAACAAATATTAAAATATCATTTGTCAATAACCCCTTACAAAACAACTGAAACACAAAAATTAAAGTTTCTTGCATATTAGAAATACACTTCAATTCACCTGTATATCAAACAGGCTCCAAAATAGAAAGAAAAATATTATTAAGTGATTTAAGGAAAAAATACCTATAAACCCTATGTAGTATTGCATAAAGAGTATTACCTCACTGTTCATTTTTGGAAGTAGTAAATACCCACAGTTCAGAGATCCACTTTTAAGAATGAGGCACTGATAAAGACAATACATTTATAACTTTTATAATGACTTTCATGTTACAGTTTTCTGGAACTTTATACATGGATTAATTTGTATTGGGTTTTCTCATATTACTTGTATTTATAGGATTTCATTTCAGTGGGAGTTTTCACACATAAGGATGAAGGCCAACTGATGTCCTTTTCATTTTGCTTACATTCAAGGTCTTTATTCTGTATGAGATCTTTCATGTCTTCTAAAAGAATGGGGACGACTGAAGGCTTTCCCACATTGTTTACATTTGTATGGTTTCTCGCCAGTGTGCGTTCTTACGTGTCCTCGAAAGGTAGTGCGATAAACGAAGGCTTTTCCACATTCTTTACATTCAAAGGGTTTCTCTCCAGTATGGGTTTTTTCATGTGTTCGAAAGGATGTGTAACAACTGAAGGCTCTACCACATTCCTTACATTCATAGGGCTTCTCTCCAGTGTGAGTTCTTTCATGTATTCGAAATGAACTGGGAAAATTGAAGGCTTTCCCACATTCCTTACATTTATAAGGTCCTTCTCCGGTATGCATTATCATGTGTGTTCGAACACTTGAAGGAGAAATGAAGGCTTTCCCACATTCTTTACATTTATAGGGTTTCTCTCCACTGTGCTTTCTCATGTGTCCTTGAAAGGTTGTACGATAAATGAAGGTCTTCCCACATTCCACACATTTATAAGGTTTCTCTCCAGTATGTATTCTTTCATGTATTCGAAAGGAACTGGGCCAACTGAAGGTTTTACCACACTGCTTACATTCATATGGCTTCTCTCCAGTGTGAGTCCTTTCATGTGATCGAAAAGAACTGGGACAGATGAATGCTTTCCCACATTCCTTACATTTATAAGGTCCATCTCCTGTGTGTGTTACCATGTGTGTTCGAATGCTCGAAAGAGAAATGAAGGCTTTACCACATTCCTTACATTCATAGGGTTTCTCACCAGTGTGAATTCTTTCATGTATTCTTAAACCTAGAGGAGAGCTGAAGGTTTTTTCACACTGTTTACATTCGTATTGTTTCTCTGCAGTGTGAGTTCTTTCATGTCTTCGAAAGGAACTGGGACAACTGAGGGCTTTACCACACTGCTTACATTCATAGGGTTTTTCTCCAGTGTGGTTTCTTTCATGTATTCGCAAACCTAGAGGAGATCTGAGGGATTTACCACACTGTTTACATTCATACGGTTTCTCTCCAGTGTGAGTTCTTTCATGTGTTCGAAGTGAAGTGGAACAACTAAAGGCTTTCCCACATTCCTTACATTTATAAGGAGCATCTCCAGTGTGTGTTATCATATGTCTTCGAAAGGTTGTGAGCCACGTGAAGGCTTTCCCACATTCCTTACATTCATAGGGTTTCTCTCCAGTGTGAGTTCTCTCATGTCTATGAACAGATTTGCGGTAACTGAAGCCTTTTCCACATTCTTTACATTTATATGGCTTCTCTTCACATTCGTGATACTCATATGGTTTGTGTCCAGTGTGAGATCTGATGTGCCTATTAAGGGATGAATGACGCACAAAAACTTTTCCACACACACTACATTTACATAGCTTTACTTCAGAAGTTTTCTTGTTCAGGTTAAGATTCAGAATCTGGCTGATGGTTTCTCGACACTGACTACCTTCTTTGCTTTCATGGAGTTTTTCTACCACATGACTTCTGTAAAAAATGAGAAGCATGTTATTAATGATTTGTCTAATTTCATATTTATTAGCAGGGTATTGGAATTGCATTTTTATAATTTACAACAAAAGTGAAGATTTTCTGTCTTTCCTGAATTGTTTGTAAGTAAATATACTGAATACTCTGTAAGAGGACTTGACCACGGCTGTTATGAAAACAGCGATCTTCTTATATGAGGTTAAGGGTAAATAAATTTGAAGAAGGATTTATCTTATTTGCTTGTTTTTAAAAATTCCTGACATACTATAATTCTCATGTGGAATAAGGCTGTCTATTGTGTGACTTACCTTAGTTTTCGCCCCTGGATTTTGTACTGATTTTCAATGTTATAATCTTCCCACTTTTTTCCTAAATGCAGACCTAGAAAAATAATTCCAAAGTATTAGAAATTACAGAAATAGTATTAGATTATAGGTTCATAATGAGCTGTGACCATGCTTAGTTTATTTACTAATGTATTCCTTTTCCACATTCTACATCTTGGAACAACACTGATGGGCAAGAAATAGTTTTTCTCTAAATCACAAAATAAGTAAGAATGTTATCATCCCTACCTACTGAGGTCAGGTTCCTGAAGGTTTCCCGCATCACATCTCTGTAGAGTTTCTTCTGTGAAGGATCCAGTAAGGCCCACTCCTCCAGGGTGAAGTTCACAGCCACATCCTCAAAGGTCACTGAGTCCTAAAACATTGCAAACATGTGTACAGTAGGATACATGAGACTGACAATACTGGGGATCTATATTCAATATACAGGAAAGTTACATATGATTCTGTGGTCTCCAAACATTTACTTTATGTCTTGATCATTAGAAACTCACAGTCCACACTTAATTGCTCATAAATTTAACAGCGTCATGAATACATAAAATATTTATGCATTTTTACTGTGATCCCTTTAAATATTATTGTTCTTTAATGGCAGGATCTAGAGCATCCATGAAAAATGAGAGAAATGCTATACAAATGAAACAAACATCATTTTAAATACACCGATTCCTTGTGAGAAAAAATCTCTCATCTCCTTTCTTATTACCTACCATTTAACTCAGCACTCCATGATGTACAGCATCAAATCTACATGAGGTTTTAATGAATAAAAACACGGTGAGAAACTAGAAGCTTTTACTTTTATTCCCATCACCAAACGTGAGAGTCCAGGCAGCCTGGGGAAATCCAACTTATAACAAGGACCAGCTGGCCATACTGGTGTGAAGTACTCCAGGCCATTAGAGATAGCCAGATCCAGTTGGCTAAAAAAAATATTCCTGTGTTTAACTTTCATAATATTTATCACAGACTCAGTTTAGCCATTCTCTCTGTCCCACTTCATGGAAATATGAAGTTCTTCAGAAGCTAGGCCTCAGATAATTTTGCATGATATGGCATACTAAAAAGGCATGACAACTTAGGCCTCCAACAAAAACCCTATACACATGAACCCCAGAGGTGCTTCTCACCAGTTTTCAGCACACATAGGCACACATACTGAGATAAGGTGATAAACGAGCTCTTTTTGGTCAAACCCTAACAAGTATGTCCCGGCCCTTGCTGACTTGGAGGAACTTATTAAGAGCTGCAAATTGCAAGGTAGTTCACTGTAATCCACAATGGCTTGATGGACTGCCCATAATCATAAAATACATAAAGGATTCTCCAGTGCTTCCCTCCAAAACAACATAACATCTCCATTTTGTAATTTCCAGAGGATGTTTCCTAACCAGCCACTCCAGAGGCAGCCCTTCCAACTTCTCTCACTTCTCAGCTCCTCTATAGCGCACAGAAGCATAACAGCCCACCCCTGAGTATAGGAATTCCTTAGCTGATGACATCACACATTGCCAAAAGGGTGTGAAAGAGTTTATTACTTCTATAAATGAGGTCTCTGGGGAGTAAGGCAGGCAGGCCTCTCAAAAAAAAAAAAAGTCCATATGCTTTTCCTTGCTCTTTTATTTCATGCCTTGAGGTTGTGGGTGGACTAAAGTGATTTCACTCATAGGGGCAGCAGTTTGCATGGATTGAATCTTTTGTCACTCCCAAAGGAGGAAGACAAAGGCTTTTTTATCACCTTGGATAGCTGTGGGGCACAAGGAGGAGGAGGAGGAGGAGGAGGAGGCTTCAAAGCTGTCAGCAGTCAGTCATCAAAAACTGGAGTCAGAGACCTTTTCTTGTCTCTCGTAGAGTGAATTTACTAGCTGTTGTTCCCAACCTCACAAGAAAAAAGCAAAAAATCTAAAATAAACAGTTCTTCTTAGGTCTATCTGAATATTGGGGACATGGGGAAACTGTTATCTCTAAAATTGGAGAGACAAAAAAAAAGCTGTTTTATAATATCACCAGAATACTCTATAGTTAACAAAGCCTGTCCTTAAATACGATAATCTATTTTACCAGGGCCTATGCAAAGACAAAAAAGAACACAATATCCAAGAACTGTGGGACAACTGTCATTGTAAAACGACAGGTGTAAAATACCCATAATGGGAATACTTGATAGAAAAAAAAAAGCAGCAAAAAGGAACAGAAGAAATAAGTGAAGCAATAATCACTGAGGTTTCCCTAATATTAGTGACAGAGAACAAAATATAGATCCAGTAAGCTAAGAGAACATAAAACATGAAAAAAAAACAACCCAAAAACAACCCACCAAAGAAATGCACACCCAAGTATATCATATTCAAAGTGGAGAAAAATCAAACACAAAGATAATTTACTGAAAGAACCAAAGAGGAAAAACAAACCTTAGTTATACTGAAACAAGGATAAGAATTGGATTTCTTTTCAGAGACCATGCAAGCAAGACAGCAGAGTGAAATATTTAAAATGCTGAAAGTAGGGCTGGCCCAGTGGCGCGTTGTTTAAGAGCAGGCTTGGGACACCAGCTCTGAGCAGCAGGGCCCCGGTTTGGATCCCACATGAGGGCCAGTGACACTGCGCTGTACAGCTAAGATGGTGAACAACAGCTCAACCTGGAGCTCGGCTGCCGTGAATTGCTGGTGACAGCGTAGGCTGCCACCCCTGCTGCAGCGGGCTGGCATAAGCTACTGTGTGTGGCTGGCAGCCAGTGTGAGCAGCCGTCCAGAGGCCGGCGACCAATCTGCTTCACCCAGGAAAAATGCAATGATCACAATAACAACATGGGCCAGTGAAGCAATGTCCTCCACAACTAGATTGAAAAACAAAAGGACAGCCACTTGTCTGTTCCTCTCCCCCAATTTCCCAATAAAACTAAAAAAAAAAAAAAAATGCTAAAAGTCAAAAAATCAATATCCTATGATTCTGTGTCAAGAAAAATTATTTAAAAGTGAGAAAGAAATAAAGACTTCCTGAGACAAAAACTGAGGGAATCTGATAGCAATACACTTGTTTTGCAAAAAATGTTAAAATGATAAGGTAAATGATGGAAGTGGAGCATCAAAAAAGGGATTAATGAAGGTAAAACAGCTTGTTTTTCTTATTTGTACTTAATCTGATATCACTCTGTTCAAGGATAAGTGAAACAAATGACAGCAATGTTAAAAGGGACAGAGAGGGAAGAAGTGAAAATATAGGTGACCCTTGAACAAGATGGGTTTGAACTGTGTGGGTTCACTTATATGTAGATTTTTTGTCAGTATAATTAGTCCACTTACGAAGTCAGACAATTAAGTTCACGAACTTGTTGCAAAAGATGTTGCTAACATTTGTTGATATGAAGGATTATTTATTATGAATTTTTACCAACTGGACAGTTAACCAATTTACTATTTGGAAGTGCTGAAAAGGCTGCGTGAAAGTTAGACAACCTGAACTTTTCGCCAATTCATGGCTTTTACATCATGACATCATACCCGCTCACACGGAACTGTGAGGGGGTTTTTAGCCAGCAAACAAATAACTATGTTGGAACACTCTCTGTACTCACCTGATCTAGCCCCCAATGACTTTTTTCTTTACCCAAAGATAAAGGAAATATTGAAAGGAAGACATTTTGATGACATTCAGAACATCAAGGGTAAATATGACAGCTCTGATGGCCATTCCAGAAAAAGAATTTCAAAATTGCTTTGAAGGGTGGACTAGGCGCTGGCATCGGTGCATAGCTTCCCAAAGGGAGTACTTCGAAGGTGACCATAGTGACATTCAGCAAATGAGGTATGTAGCACTTTTTCTAGGATGACTTCAGGAACTTAATTGTCAAATCCCACATACTTGGATTTTTAAAGATTCCTGAATATCTCCCCAGGCCCTCCTGCAGATAATCAGAAATGTAAACAGCCCATAACTGCTAGAGACTAAATAAACCAAAGGGAAAAAATGGAAAGGAGAGCCTTTTAGAAAGGCTCACAAAGTAGCTGAAAAGGTTCCCTTACCTAAGCAGCCTCCCCTCCTGAACTTCCTTAAAAATTGTTTGTCAAGGACAAATATAAATCTTAAAGGTCTTCTTTAAAAATAGTAAGCCTTGCCATCTGAACAAATAAACCTAACTTACTCCAACTGTAATAAATTAGTGAATTTTTTGGCTTATTGTACTTGTAACAAGGCTGAAATTTAAAAATTGAAACTATCAGGTCTCTGGTGGCATCTGTCTATATATGTGTATGTGTGTCTACCTACAGAGCATACTAACAAAATTGGTTTGTAAAACGCTTTAACTTAAAAAATTAAGCACTTATATAAATTAAGAAATATAACAGAAACTAACACAAATATTTTCAGGCTCTGGAAAAATACTTGATATTAAAGTTAATTAAAACAGGCATGTCTTTAGTTATCAGAATACTTTATTCTACCTCAGCTTACAAATCTATCAGCAAAAATAACTTAGAATGGTTGCTGACTTGGTCTAATACCTCATGAAAATTTTATGGGTAATCTAAACATAATTATTAGAACAGGTAAAATAAATAGATATAGGTAGGGACAAAAGATTTTGTGTTTTTTTAAAAGATTTTATTGGGGAATTGGGGGAGAGGAACAGCGTTGGGGAGTCAGGGAAGGGGAACAGACAAGTTGCTGTCTTTTTTTATTCTTCAGTTTAGTTGTGGAGGCCCATATTGGTATTGTGATCATTGTGCTCTTCCTGGCTGAGGCAGTCAGTTGCTGGTCATTGGATGGCTGCTCACGCTGGCTGTCAGTCACTCCCAGTAGCTCACGGAAACTCACTGCAGCCTATGCCGTCCCTGGCCACTCACAGCAGCGCAGCTCCAGGTCGAGCTAATGTCCACCACCTTAGCTGTAGAGAGCGCAGCGTTACTGGCCAAACCCGCGGCCCTGCTGCTCAGAGCTCGTGCTCCCAAGCCAACTCTTAACCAATGAGCCACTCAGCCAGCCCCTGCAAAATGTTTTTTAGGTGAAACATTTAGCAACAATTACATGTACTTAAAAATAGTTCCCTAAGATCTTTTGATAACTTGAAACTTTAATGTAGTACTAGCTAAATTAACTGATGGAGATTATCTGAATATACAGGTGACCAAAAAAGATATACACATTTTAAGAAATGAAAAAACTATTAAAATTGTAATACTCAATATGTACTGATAACAAAAGATGAATACAAGTCACGTATGACTTCTGCAATTACAAGAGGTGCTCAATTATCATCAGCATCCAGACACTTCTGATTATGGCGAACTACTACTTGAACAACGTTAACCGAGGTGTCCACTTGTATATATTTTTTTGGCACCCCCAGTATTT